GGCGTTCCACAGGGCAGCTGTTTGTCTCCAGTCCTGTACGCGGCTTACACTAACGACATTCCTATACTGGCAGGAAGGCTGCAAGAGTGGGAGGATGACGTGGAATTGACGTTATATGCGGACAATAGCGCCTACTACATCTCGTCCAGAAGAGCCCACATTGCCACTGCCAGGATGCAACGTCTGCTGGACCTGTTGCCACCATGGCTAGATGAGTGGAGGATGGTCATCAACGTTGGTAAAACGACCGCTCTGCTCACTCGCCGCCTCAGGAACCTACCACCTCCGCTAACCCTCAATGTCCAGAAGATCGCGTACGAGAAGGCCGTGAACTACCTTGGGTGCCGGATCGACCGGGCGCTGCGCATGACTGCGCAAGTCGACTTCGTCGTCCGCAGAGCCAGATGTGCGCGGGCGATGCTCCGTCCAGTCCTGGCATCCAAGTTGCCACTTAGGACCAAAGTGAAGATATACAAGATGTATATAAGACCCATCATCACCTACGCTGCTCCGGCCTGGTACGCGCTTCTGAGCGATCCTCTGAGGCGGCAACTGCAGGCCCAGCAGAATTTGACTTTAAGAACCATTGTCGGTGCGGGTCGCTACGTCCGGAACGACGTCATAGCGGCCGACCTCAAGATAGAAACCATTCCGGACTTTGTGGCCCGGTTGGCACGCGGACTGTCCGACCGCGCAGACAACGGGCCACACACACATCTTAACAACTTAGCGCCGCTACACACTCGTCCACCGGACTGGCGACCCTATTCAAGAGAACTCCTCTCTATATAGATTAGAGAGTTGAGTAACAACCCACAATGCCGCTGATAGGCCAACTTTGACATCTCAAGATAACCTCCTTTTTTTTCGTAGACTTAACCGACTACGAAAAATTTTACCAACCACGGACTAATTCCAAAAATTGATTAACAACGCCTGAATAAGGCTCCCAGGACCGGCCCATAGTAGTGGGCCGCGAGGATAATCCGGGTAATGGTGCTCCCATTACCCGGAAAATCACCGAGGCCCGAGACCTGCAGGACCTAAGCAATTCTCGCAGATGACAACACTGAGCAGAGCCACCGTACGTTCGTTTTTTTGCCGTTTTTAAGTGTCGTTGTAACTCACGATCTTGCTTTGATCATAGCAAAGAGCAAGTCCGGTCGTGCATTTAGTATTACTGCCATATATGAGCTGGTGCTGAAAAATGCCACCTAGTACCCGTACCTCTTGTAAGGCTTCTAGGTGATCAAAGCTCTTCATTCTCCGCAATATTTTGAGAAGTAACCGTAGTAGTAGAGCAGCTCATAAAAACACCAATCAACTCTGAACCATAGCAAGTCCATCCCCTGGCTTTTTACGCGTCACAATCTGTCTTGTATTGCCTCCAAGCTTTTACAACTGCAGGATCTAAGAAATGGGTCAGTACTTTTACTGTCCATTTCTTTGTCTTTTGATAAGTCCTGTAGTATTCAATAAGCTGGTCAAGGACTACTCCACCCATATTTCTGTTATAATTTAAAACTACGCTCGGAGCCGTTACCTTTGAACGTATGCTTTTTATATTTTATACGTGGTAGAGCCATGCTGCAGTTATATTAGAAGTATAGTTGTACAACGAATGGGTCGACTCGACCGGGGAAGGACCACGCTCTCACAGAATACCAGCGTGAAATAGTAGCTTAAGTTAAAGTGAGTGTAGAGAACCGGAGACCGTTTTTACTGGAAACGAGGTATTCCATCTAAGTTCTCGAGGATGGATGTAGATGTCTATGGGCCACAGCAACTACTTACCATCAGGTGGACTGGGTGCCCGTTTGTCACCCTATCCTATAAAAAAATGCTTTTCGCTTCTTATCCATCCACCATCTAGGAATAGACGACGTTTGGTTCACAGCACTACAATTTGAAGCCAACAGTAATCCTCTGTTATCCTCTTACTTAACCAGTGTATAGTGCCACCAACTTATCTGTTCAGGTGGACAAAATTGGAACTAAGGCCGCCATTTTGTAAATGACATTTCGCTGTCAGTTATTATTTATTCTGAGCTATCAGGTGAGTGTTTTTAAAAAGTGCAAATAAAATGCCTAAAGCTCTTAAAAGTGATGCGCGACAGATTATCCTAAAAGTTTTATCTTTTATGAAAGAAGATAAACGTGTACAAGCCCCAATTATACCATTTGAAAAGCTGTATGAACGCGTTACTGCCGCGACAGGTTAGTATTGCCAGATATGGAAAATTAAAATCACCTAATAAATTTCTTGTGAAACATAGTAAAAAAAAATTCTCAATTTACTGTAATTCGTCTAAATTACCTAGCTTTGTAATTTGTGGTCTGTGAAGTAGCTATAGTGACGGCATATACACGGGCTTATATTTATTTAATTTTACCTATACAATAATTATTTGTCGTTTCGTTACAGGTGTTTCTGAGCGATTTGTACACAAACTCGTAAATGAAGAGAAACACGCTGAAGAATCAAATTCTAAAATTTCTACCCCTGGCAAAAAAAGGCAAAGAAAAACCGGGAAACAAGAAGTTGATAATTTCGACATTGGTGTTATAAGAAGAAAAATTCACGAATTTTATTCAGTGAAAAAAGAAATTCCTACCATACCCAAATTACTGAGTATTTTAAAAGAAGATATTGATTTCAAAGCAGAACGTGAAACTCTTCGAAAATTGCTTCACAAAATAGGATTTAGTTATAAGAAAACAAAATCAAATAGAAAAGTGTTGTATGAACGTAACGACGTAGTTGCATGGAGAGCAACCTACCTACAAAAAATTAAAGAAAATGAGTGTGGTGAAAAAAGACCTATTATTTATTTAGACGAAACTTACATACATTCGTCTCACTCAACTGGGAAATGTTGGCAAGGTCCTCAAGAGTATGGCAATTTGGAACCTGTTTTGAAAGGTAATCGGTGGATCATCGTCCATGAAGGTAGAGGAAAAAGGTTTTGTGGAGAATGTCCTTCTCGTATTTAAATTAAATACAAAGTATGGGGACTACCATGATGAAATGAACTAATTTCAAAAAATGGGTATATGAAAAATTACTACCTAATCTGCATGAACCTTCTCTCATTGTGATGGATAATGCGCCATACCATAGTATTTGCGTAAATAGGTGTCCTAATTCAAACCACAGTAAGGCTGATATGCAGAAGTGGCTTGTAGAAAACAATGTGGATTTCAATGAACAAATGACAAAACCACAGCTTTATGAGTTAATAAAGAAAAATAAACATGCTCCGGAATATGAAATTGATAACCTGATGAAAAGTTATGGCCATGTTATTCTTAGATTGCCGCCTTATCATTGCGACTTGAACGCAATTGAAATGATATGGAGCTCTATGAAAAGGAACATAGCAGACAAAAATGTTGGAAAATCTAATGTTCTAATGCCCCAATTAATTGAAGATGCATTCAATAAAATTACACCGGTGCAGTGGAAAAACATTTGTAATCATGTGAAAAAAATTGAAAATGAATACAGACTAAAAGACGCGTATTTAGATGAACCCTTTATTATAGAGTGTCAGAGCGATATCGAAAGCGATTCCAGTGACTCAGAAGATGAATTATTGGAATCAGTAGCTAACGCGGGTACGTCTTTCAAAACAGAAATTCCTGGAGTTCGGCCGCTTGAACTCCGAGACCACGACCACAATTATTTTTATAAAATATAAATAATATATATAATAACACTAATTCTCACTAATTTTAATATATTAACACGAAATTTGTTTTATTTTATATTATGTGTACCTAATGAATATGTAGTCACCTATTTCCTCGGCGAATTTCTTAAATGGCAATAGTAAGCACTCCACTAGCGACTCTGTAAACTGAACAGATAAGTTGGTGGCACTATAATGTAGTTTGAAATGTTTGTACAATATCGCCCCGATCCATAACGCTATCTTGCTTCATATCTAACTTCTTATAGTTAGGAACCCGATTAAGCATAATCGTTTCTGTGCCATGCAAGTTGTAGCTTTCCAACTTCTTGACCTTTTATTTTGTGTTATACGACGGTTGTTGATTCCAATGGCATTTTCGTTTGTCAGTGGCATGTTTCCCCATCCTCACATTGTAGAAACACAGCTAATGGGATACTTATATGTCTGAGTCACTGTCGCTCCCTAAGGGTCTTCTAGGTGTGCGTTGTTTGTAGTTAGCAGTGGTCGCATACAACCGCCGGTACGACATACTCCGCCGATCGTTGAGTCCGTTTAGTCCGTGAGGCGTCGAGGTCACCGGCCCCTAGGTAGATTCTTAGGCGCTCTAAAACGTTCGCGATTTTACAGTGCCTAGTTGCGATTTTTAGTGCCACCATGTGCACTTCCCCCAACCCTTTCATTAGGAAAGGGGTAGGCAGTGCCCTTGTGCCTAAGCAAACATCTTGCATCACCCCTACCACCGCGTCGCGCATCACAGCCTGTCGTCGTTGGTAACACAGATAGGGCCCATAGATTACGTTTGAACACTTCACAGTAGGTAGACTATTAGTGACATGTCGGACAAGGGGGAGCCGCCCCCTCCGCGGACTAGAAAACCACCGGACCGTAAAGGGATTTTGGACCGACCATTACAGGGATCTAGCGAATCCGGAACGCTCTTGAATAGTGCCGTTCTTTTCGCAGATCCCGACCAGAAAGCCCGTCTCGCCGCGGAAGGAGCCCGCACCGGGCGTCGCGCTCACGCCGGCCGTGTCTGAGCACACGGTGAGGCAGGAGCCGTCGCCCCAACAACAGCGGGTGAAGAAAACGGCCAGACGCCACACCCCTCCGGAGACCGAGGTCTCTTTATTCGAGAAGAGGCAACGGATAGGTTCCAACCTCTCATCTTCCTATGTACCAACATCAGCCTCGGAAGATGAAGAGCGCCATCAAGCGGCAACAAAGAGGGTGCACAAGTCACCGCCGAAGTCGCCATCACCACCACAACCTCCCCGCTCAATATCACCGAACCGGCGTAGCCACGACTTGGCCCAGTACGAGCAGGGAGGTGAAGAGTCATACAGCTGGGGATCCACCACGTATGCGACTCTTGCAACATCCGCAGGCCGATCACCGCCGGTGCAGACCACCAATCCGTACGGGCTTCCACAAGACGATGGACAATGGCCCTCTACCAGCTACGCCCATATGGTAGCAACACCAGTAGTGCCACGACCGCAAGCGGCGGTAGAGCCTGCAGACCAGGAGAAAGCTAGATACCCGCCCATAGTGGCTGAATGCCTCCTAGATTGGACGAGGCATTTTAAGGAGCTCAACAGAAAGTTGGGCCACCCTCCAAATGCCCGTCCGTTCGGGAAAGGAGTACGTTTTACCCCGCAGAGCGCCGACGAGTTCTGTACCATCCAACGGTACATGGTCGAGCTCTCAAAGGAGATACCATCATTGACGTGGTACTGCTATACCCCGGAGGAGGATAAGCCCACTAAAGTGGGCATCCGGGGACTACCAATGGGCACGGACACCAAAACGATAGAGGAGGCTATCAGGGCAAAAGGCTTCAAATATGTCAAGGCAATTCCACCACGTAGGGGCAGACCTGGATGCCTCTACTTTGCCCAATTGGACCACCTGAGCCTGGAGCAGCTCCAGGATCTTTATAAAACCGTCGAGCTGCTCTACATGAGAGGGGTCGTCATCAAGGCCTGGCGGAGGAAAGCAGGACCAGCACAATGCCACCGCTGCCAGGCTTTCGGGCACGCCTCCGCCAACTGCTTCAGGTCAGTGAAGTGCGTACGCTGTGCCGGGGAGCACATCGCAAGCCTTTGCCCTCGGGATAGGGAGGAAGAACTGAAGTGTGCCAACTGTGGCAAAAACCACACGGCAAACGATCGCCGCTGCCCAGTCCTGAGGAGGACTGCTAGGAGGCAGGGGATCACCTTGCCGGGACTAGTCCCGGAGGACCCGAAAAAGATCCCTCAGAGTCGCGCAAGAGCGGTAACCATCCAAGAGGACGGGTGGGCTACCGTAACAGGGAAGGGTAGGCAACCCCCCACCCCCACCCGCAACACCTATGGAAACGGTGGAACCCGCAGAAGCGAGGGCAACCACCGAGACGACTCTACAGCCCCTCGCTAATGCCGCCACAGAGCGGCAGACCTCAAGAAGGAGGAAGCGGACGAGGAGTAAAAAGAAGTCGCAGACTCCTCAGGCTGTTACTTCTACCCCGACACCAGTAGGACCGGTAGCCTCACAGGCGCAGTTTACTAGCGAAGCACCAAAGAAGAGCGTGGGTAGAGTGCCAGAAAGGGCTCAATCAGAAAATATAGCCCGCTCTACCCAGAAGCAAAGATTGCATAATCAAGACCAACGCCCGAGACCAGTCCCAACTTCTTCAGAAAGGAGAACATCTATAGCCGGCTTCGAGACAGCAGCCATCCAACGTTTGGTTGGCATTGCCATCGAGGTCGGCAGTCAAGTCCTGGCCGATATAAGAGCCGGGACAGATCCCATTACAGTGGTTATGAAGGCGCTGGCAAACCTCCTGGCCCGGCATTATAGAGGAGAGTAACCTGCGCCTCCTCTATTGGAACCCGGACGGAATACAGCAGAAGCTGCATGAACACCGCACAGTCGCCCAACAACAAGACATCCAAGTCATCTTGCTGGGAGAGACGAAGTTAAATACTAAGACGTACATAAAGCTGCCGAATTACCATATATACAGGAGGGACGAGGTCACTTCTCAAGGGGCCGCCTATAGAGGGACGGCGGTTCTAGTGAGGAGGGACATCGTCCATCAAGAGCTGGAATTACCTGTATACCAAACAATGCGCTCTATCGGTATAAAAATGGAGGCGGCGGGCGAGGAACTAAGGATCTACGCAGCATACCGCCCGCCAGGGACTCCATTCTGCTCCTCAGACGTCCGGACGGTAATGGAAGGCGAAACACCTACCATCATCGCCGGGGACCTAAACGCCAAACACCCGGCGTGGGGATCCAGAGTGATCAACCCGCCGGGTCATGAACTTTATGAAGATGCGGAGAGGTACAGCTACGACGTTTTAGGTCCCGAAGAACCTACACACGTTCCGACAGACCCACGGAAACGTCCGGATGTATTGGACATCGTGCTCTCTAGGAACGTCAACTACCCGATAGTGGTAGAGGTGCTATAAGACCTGAACTCACAGCACCTCCCGATTCTGACCACCCTTGGCCTAAAGGCGATGACTGCGCCGCTCAGAGCATTCAAGACACGTGTCGACTGGAGGCTCTACTATTAACACCTGAAGGAGAGACCTCCAGTCCACCATCCCATAGCACAGCGGACGACGTAGAGGCCGCTGTAACTAAATTAATCAAGAATATCTATGAGGCCCTCCATGCGGCCTCTACAATCGTCCCGATCACAGCAAGGCGAGACGATCTGCCGCGAGAGATATGCATGCAGATCAGGCGCAAGAGAGCGTTGAGGAAGCTCTGGGCGCGCACTCGCTGCCCTAGATTGAAAACTCAACTCAACACCTTGTCGGAGGAACTGTCGGTTGCAGTCCAGGCCTACAGAGGAGAGGCCTGGGGGCGGCGCATATGGAAAGCAGAAGAGCGCGACGCGTCGCTTTATAAACTGAACCGACAGTTGATCAAAGCCACCTCCCGTTTGCCCGACGACCAACAGCGCGGATGAACGTTGCTATGATGCCAAGAGCAGAGCGGATATCCTAGTTGAGCACTTCGAGGAGCAATTTATGCCAAACCCAGCAAGTGCGGAGTTCATGGAGCTTCATGCCCGGAAGGAGAGTCGCGTACAGCAGTTACTGTCGTCGCCCGCTGAACTGCGGAGGACAGTAACCTGCCTGCAACCGAGGAAGGCGCCGGGGCACGATGGGATTGCCAACGCAACACTCCGACAGCTGCCCAATAGAGTCCTGGTTGAGCTTGGTCGACTCTACAATGGGATACTGCGGACATCCCACTTCCCGGAGGACTGGAAGAAAGGCAGAGTCATCGTCTTGCCGAAACCCGGGAAGGACAGGCGTAGAGCTGCCAGCTACAGGCCGATCACGCTATTACCGCACATAGCTAAACTGTTAGAAAGATTGCTGCTGAGACGTCTCCGTCCATGCATCCAACTTCGGGCGGAGCAGCAAGGATTCAGGAAGGGTCACTCTACAGTCACTCAGTTGACTAGAGTGCTGCACCTACTTGCGGCAGAATACAACCGCGGCCGCGTATCGTTGGGCGTCTTTCTCGACATTAAGAAGGCGTTCGACAGGGTGTGGCACTCAGGATTGCTTTATAAACTACACGAACAAACCAGGGTCCCTCTTGCTATGTTCAGTTCCTCAGCAACACAGGCTGATCAGAGTGCTGCACCTGCTTGCGGCTGAGTACAATCGTGGCCGCACATCGTTGGGCGTCTTTCTCGTTGTCGAGAAGGCGTTCGATAGGGTGTGGCATTCTGGATTACTATATAAATTGGAAGAACAGACCAGTGTCCCTCCTGCTATGTTGCGGCTAGTGGCGTCTTTCCTGGAAGACAGGAAGTTCTACGTCTGTGTAAAGGACGCCGAATCCGCAACACGTTCCATCAGAGCCGGCGTTCCTCAGGGCAGCTGTTTATCTCCAGTTCTGTACGCGGCTTACACCAACGACATCCCAATACTGGCAGGAAGGCTGCAAAATTGGGAGGACGACGTGGAATTGGCGTATGTTGACGACAGCGCCTATTTCACCTCGTCCAGAAGAGCCCACATTGCCACTGCCAGAATGCTGCTGGACCTGTTGCCACCATGGCTGGACGAGTGGAGGATGGTCGTCAACGTTGGTAAGACGACCGCTCTGCTCACTCGCCGTCTCAGAAAACTACCACCTCCGCTGATCCTCAATGGCCAGAAGATCGCGTACGAGAAGGCCGTGACCTACCTTGGGTGCCGGATTGACAGGACGCTGCGCATGACCATGCACGTCGACTTCGTCGTCCATAGCGACGCTCTTGCCAGTCCTGGCATCCAAGTTTCCAACCAATACCAAGCTCAAATTGTAGAAAATGTACATTCGTACCATAATCACTTACGCTGCTCCGGCCTGATACGCGCTTCTGAGTGACCCTCTGGTGCGGCGACTGCAGGCCCTGCAGAACCTGACATTAAGGACAATCGTCGGAGCAGGTCGCTACGTCCGGAATGACGTCATAGCGGCCGATCTGAAAGTCGAAACCATCCGAGACTTCATGGCCCGGCTGGCGCGCGGTATGTTCGACCGCGCCGACAATGGGCCACACGAACACCTCAACGGCTTTGCGCCGTTGCACACACGGCCCCCGGACGGGCGATCTTCTCCAAAAGAACTCCTCTCTATATAGATTAGAGAGTCGAGTAAAACCCACAATGCCGCTGATAGGCCAACTTCGACTTAATATGACAACCTCATTTTTTCCGTAGTTTAACCGACTACGGAAAAAAGTTTTAACCGACTAATCCCAACCGCCAACACGACAATGCGACATGGCCAAGGCGACATGATGATTGGTAACAATACCAAGTCATAAACCATTCATCATCACCCTCACCTCATTGCCTTACCCTTTTTTAATTAGCCTGCCTGCAAAGCCGCGAGCCCTGAGTCACATGAAGCTATAAGATTCGCATAGACTAGCAGCGTTAACATCTAGAAAATAGAGAAGTTCCGTCATTCTTGCGGATTCAAGCGGCTACGGCGGAAGAACAAAGTGCGTTAATTATGTTACATGTTGTAATCGATTCAGTAAACGATTCTGAACAAACTACTTTCTCAAAGTGCGTTAATTATGTTACATGTTGTATATACAACATGTAACATAATTAACGCACTATATACAACATGTAACATACACAACATGTAACATAATTAACGCACTTTGAGAAAGTAATTTGTTCAGAATCGTTCACTGAATCGATTCCTATCATTTTAATATAGGTAATTTTTTAACCCAAAAATAATTAAAACTACGTAAATTATAGTCACACTAAATCTGTACAGTCAAAACAAACTGAAATGGACCGTAACTTAAGGCAATAAGACTTTTAAGAATGGAGTTTTATTTGTATTATTACTAATTCAGTCATTCAATAAAAATAAGGAAAAATGAACTGTATTTCAAGCTCGTTAAAGTCTTTGCGTTCGTGGATTTGTACTGTGAATACAACATTCTTCCGGAATTAGTATAACTAATTCCGGAAGTGCATAGGACGGTGCATAAAAATGTTTAACTAAAAATTCAGTGTATGTATTATGATTACAACATAATATACTAATTGGGGTGTCTGAGGGTGTGCTTTAATTACGTTACATATTGTATATACACAACATGTAACAAAAACCCTGTGGTTCCTTTTAATTGCGTTATCAGAATCAGTATCCAAGCGTACATAAATAGTTTTTTTTTTTTTCAAAAAAACACAAATTTTAATTTTAGTAAAAAAAAATTTAATTTGCAAATTGTATGTGGTTTTATTCTCTGCATTGGCCAAGGAGTAAGAGGATTGTCAAAAACCCCTTATTACGGATACTCGTGTAAATTAGAGGAAATATATCCACATATAATTTGAAAATTAATTTTTCTCCATTAAAATTAATTTTTTTAATGTTTTTTTTGGGAAAAAAATTTCTATACGCTTGGATACTGATTCCGATAACGCAGTTAATGGGAACCACAGTGTTTTTGTTATATGTTGTATATATATATATATATATAAACCTAGTCCGGCCATAAGTTCTGTTACAAATGAAAATGCATTTTTTAATGAAGTAATGTAATATTATACTAAAACTTATATGTAAATATTTATCAAAGTCTCAGCAAAAAATAAAAACAATATTCTATTCAAAATGGCCACCTTTGGCTTTTATACAGGCCTTTAATCTGTCTGGCCACGAATCTATGGATTTACGCACTGTTTCCATGCGAAATTTCGCCACTGCGTGATCCTGAGATTTTTTAAGACTCAATGTCGCCGTGTCGTTTAGAGCAAGCTATGTCCTCTAAAACTGACCATAATTTGTAGTCTAAAGAGTTGAGGTCTGGGCTAGCTGAGGGCCAGTCTTCAGCTCTTATAAAGTCCGGAGCGTTGGTTTCAAGCCAGGCTTGGGTAGTTCGTGCCTTGTGACCAGGTGCAGAGACCTGCTGGAAAGTCCACGGTACATTTTTAAAAAGTGTATTGCTGAGGGGTTTCACAACACGATCTAAGACTCTCTCTTGATACACTTTGGCTGAAGTTTTCACTCCTTTTTCATAAAAATGTAGCTTTGTAACACCTCGATAAGACACGCCCCACCAAAATATCACTGACGCAGGATTATGATTGATTACCACGTTGTACCTTTCCGACCACTTGAGCAGCTTCTTTAGAACTATAAGCGTTTACTTTGTCATTTTGCTTATTGTAGTGCTCTTCAATCGTGAAAATGTGTTCATCGGTAAAGAGAATATTTCTGTGCCCTTCACTGGCGTATCGCGACAGAAGGCGTTTTAATCGATCCACTCTCTTTAATTGTAAAGATTGATTTAGGGCATGTCCTGTCGTCAATATCGATAAGCACCGATCTTCAGTGTGCTTAGTGCGAGTTTTTTTACGCGTTCGATAGCTATAAAGTTAACTACGATTTGCATGGAATAAAAAAGCGCCAACTGGTGACAATAGTTTGAAACAAAATTCCTGAGTGCGAGTTTACTACGTGGTCGATATCGACCATCGAGCATTGACTCACATTCGACAGTGAGAACGTTAACGCTCGTGATTGGTTGTTTGAAGTATTTTGCGAGTTCGAGCGACAATTTTGATCATTCGAGACGTAACTTATGTAAACTTTACGCCGTCGCTATCGAAAAAGTTTTCACATAGATTTTTACAGTGAGATAGAAGAGTGAGAATAATTATTGAAGAGTTAATTTTATTTCGTTTTATGTGAACGATGTTGATGAACAGCCGCTAAGGCATAAATAAGTAATAGTTATAGATGACTGCTATTATAACGCAAGTGTTGAAGCAAGACCTTGCGTATATTGTTACGAGCTTGAGGTTCGTGACAATAAAAGCCGCGCGGCGCAACAATATTTTTGTCCGTCATTACATCCCGACGACAAGCAATTTAATGATAGATATAGCATTTTCCACTAGTGTTCAACTTAACTCTATTCAATAATTAGATCAATTTCTTCTAAATTTTTTATACAGACCATTTGATCGCTTGCATTAGACGATGCTTTGCCGAGGCCTTCATGCCAAAAATCCAATAAATTCTAGTCCGCGTTACCTAGTTACAAAACACACGTATCAAACTTCAGTTTACACTAAATAACTTAAATTCCATTTACTGCTCCAAAAATTTCACCATAAAAGCATATTAGAACGAACACATCTTTATGTTTTTTTGCTTTCATTCTTTCATTCACTCTTCATTCTTCATTGCTTCAATTCTCGCTATAAGATTTTTTGCTTCCTAATGGGATTTTGACGAATTCTGGCTTTAACAGACTTTGTAGTTCTAACAGCATGCGGCCACCCCAATCTTTTATGGTCTTCGATAGAGGAAGTGTTGCAAGTGAGCAAAGTAACACAGCAGTCGACGCGTGTTTGCAAGTTCGGTTCACTCAATTCATGAGGTACCCATCGTCGAAGTTTTTTTTACTCTACCGATTTGCTTCAAGTGGATTAATACAATTTTATCACTTACCCCGAAGCCTGCAGTTATCTCTGAATTGCTTTGTGATGGATCTGCTTACATAATAGCCCTTAATTCTTCATTTTCTACTTTGGTCTCCGGCCGACCACGGGGTTGGTTCTATTTTTTAAAGGTCGAAATTTCCAGAACGAAAACCTTGAAGTCAAAAACGTACCGTGGTTTCTTTTGCGACACCAGCGCCGTACACATCATTAATCCTTCGAGCTGTTTCTGCAGTGCCACGGTAGAACTCGTACTCACATATATACCGGTATTTCATGTTTTCCATTGTGCAGTAATAAGCGACGCCAAAGAAAAAAATAATGAGGAAAAAACAAATGAATGACTGTTTTCAAAACTCAAATGTACCAGCTAAATGAATTTATAAATTTGAATTTGGAATTCTTAACCAAAGAGGAGATATTTCAGATCAAAATGGTCAGTACGACAAAACGCTAATTTCATATGTAAGGACAATATCATATCTATCTAATGTATTCGAAGTTGTTGCAATACTTCTAATAAAGTAATGTAGGTGTAGGTTTCATAGGCTCTGAAATCATTGTTTAGTTTGAGACATTAATATACCTAAACAGCAGTAGTACATATTGACTTTGAAGTAAGATTCCGGGTATGAAATTATTTCACCTTCTCATATTCTTCATAAAAAAAACGGTTCGTTATCTTC